TTACATCTCATAGGAAAATAAGGTAGAGGTGTTCAAAAGGTATTAGAGAAAAAAAAAAACGACCGAGAATCCTTTTTTCAGCACTTTTTTGCCTGTTGATTTTCGCTTTGGACATCATTCTTCGATTGATAGGAAATTACCTTGAAAAATCAAAAATACTGCCTCTCGAACAAAATGCTTTTCAAGTGGTGAGCAAACGATGGCGGTCATTCCATTGTTCCTGGCAAGAAACCTCGGCGTACTCCTTTTGCCGTGTCATCACCTGTGCAGATGACGCCGTGCGTGTGCCGTGCCACTACCACGGACTGACAGCCTAAATCAATGATTCCCGCCAAGACTTGTTGTACTTTGCTTGCCGTGTCATCACCTATGCCGTGTGCCGTGTCACCACCATACATTGCTAGCATATCGGTGACACGCGCAATTCACTCCGCCTTTCGTGAATGTTTGATGTGGTTCTTGACCGTGTCACCAGCTATAGAAACGAGGTCTGTGTGAGCCAGGCCTCCTCCAGAAATTGACAAGTGGCTCAGTGATGTAGGCTTTCGCTGTTCCCATCAAGACTGTGTTATGCATTGCTTGCAGCTCCAACGCTTGTGCTGATGAAGCAGAACCCGGCGCAGAGCCCACCACCCGACGAACAGTTCGGACGGGGTATCAGGAATTCCACGATAATGTCGGAAGTCAAAGAAAGGGAAATATACCAAGACCGAAGCCATCGCCCCTAAGGGTGCGGATGATGCGATAGCGAAGAGGATCATCCCAGCGGGTAAGCCGAGCCATGTCTGTGCCACTCGCGCCGCTGTCCACCCACTTTATCACCGTCTGATTCTAGCCGTTCAACAGAGAGAGCGTCAGCGTTGAAGAGAGCAGCACCGATGAGAGTCGCATCAATGCGGAAATCAACGGCAAGAAGGGTCCATTTCTGAGGTTCTGGGCCGTTTCATGGTTTTTTCTTCATCCCGGCACCATTGACCACCTTTACCCTGATTTCTAATGAGCTGCCTTTCCATCGTATACTCTGCCTTTGAGTCGAATGGCGCGATCAGGGAGCAGCATTTATCTGCTTATTTTTCGACTATTGACGTGCAAAGATTACGTAACAGGGCCTAGTGCTATGTTATGTTATGTTATGATTTATTATCGGTAACCAAGGAAAAACACAAACATAACACAATTACATCCGTGATTCCGACAAACTTTCTAGCTTTGAGATTGCTGCGCTGAAGCGTATGCACACACTGGGAACGGAGCATTTTTTCGCCAAACGACTGTGACAGACGTCTTCAGGACTTCAGAATACACCCGCGCACTAATTTCTAGCTTGAGATTTCGAGCATAACATCGAAGAAGTGAGGTTAGACATGGATAAAGCTGACCATCTAGCCGTTGCTCGACACTGGCCCATGACCACAACCCTTGTATTCAAAAACATTGTTTTCCTCGAAACACCATCCATAGTAATAAATTGAAACCCTGATCACGGACCTGACGCACATTTCAGCACCGCTCCTTTTAAGGCAACAACTGTTTTCCACTAAACACATCAAAAATTTACAATTGTAGGATATTCAGTCATCTGAACTGTTTAGCGTTGTGACGAAGGACCACCTCCTTTATTAGCACTAAAATAAATCCAGGTGTGAGTTTGAGTGAATTCGGTGAGTTAGCGCTGAGCTAGCCAGAGACCAGACCACTAAGAATGTTAATCACTCCCTTAAAAAAAGCCTGCAGCACTCTTTTGGTGGAATCTTAAAGAACTCCATTTGGCGATGTATGTATCTCAAGATGTAGATCCAGTCCCTTTCGCGTTCGTTTGATGCGAATCCCTGCAGGTTTTATGCATGCAAGTGCTCCATTTCGGTGCCGCGGGTAGCAAGGCATTTGGGGATTCTTACTCGGTTAGGTACGGTTGCCTCAGTTAAGGCCTTGCTGTATCGAACCCTTGCTCAGGGCCATTCACACATGCAGTGATTTCTTTGAAGAATGCGAATACGATGCTGCCATGCGAAGTGATTATAAGGTTTGCTTTACCCTTGATTACATTTTCTTTCGCAAAATGGTGGCTCAGCTTGCTCACTTTACACAAGAAACAAACGATCAGAAGCACATGTGCCTCGATCGTCTAAAACAGTTCCGTTTCCTCGCAAACAGCAATTTTCAAAAATATAGGGTACAGCTGTGAAAACGTGTTACTAAAGCCGACCACCAAGAGCCCAAAACCTCGACCTTGTGAACCTGAGACCAACATAGAAACCACTACGCCACCGTTTCATGCAAAGCATGCAAAACATGCGTCCTTTGGTCGTGCTGAGGTTGAGTCTCATCCGTGCCATAAAGAGGTATACGTCGCATTTCAAATGACTTCTTCGACCCGGCATCCTTACCTTGTAGTTGAAAAAAAGAACCTCGACTGCCCATAGACTCTTCACAATGAGTATAAACTTACTTGTGCAGGAACAGTGATCATGCTATTAAGGAGATTTCTCATCTGGCAGAGTCATAGCTTCCGATGGGAATTTCCAAATACAGCTCGGCAGAAGGCCAGAAATCTTCAAAACTGGGACGTGAATGTGCATTTGAGTAGCTCACCTTCAAGATCTAGCGGATCAGGGGAGTTGATACTCCTTGAAATTTCGCGAGAATTTCTTGTCGTGCACCCGGTCAGTTGTTCTGGAGGCTGTGGTACTGGCCATATGCGAAAGTTTTACAGGGGGCACCAGCACAAGCGTTACCCTGAAAAGGCGAAATTGTGCGGCTCGAAACACTGCACAGTATATGTGCTCGAAAAGAGCAGCAAAGCAATAAATGATATTTAGAATTTTGTAAAAACGGCGGTCAATTCCTCACTTCGGTCATTTACTCGACCATGCGCAGCTTGAGAAAGCTCGTTCCTTGTTTTTCCTTCTCTTGGACCAATTGCATCCGCGAACAGATGCGCCATGTGGTTTTCGTGAATTGCTGAGCATGCCTCATACTCCTCCTCGAAAACTCACGATTTCATGAGCGAAGCCTACGACGCTTCATTAACTTCCGCTAGAAGAACCGCGCCAGTTATGCATGCGCCTGCCTTTGATCATACCAATTTAGCTCGGCACGCTACCGCTTGCATCACACAGTTATTTCACTTGAAGGAATCTTTCGCAGAAAAATCGTGATTCTATCTCACACATAATTCATCGGCTTAGGACCCATCATTCACGACAAGAACGAAAAGAGCAAAGAAATAGCATTCGTTTTGGTGAAAAAAAAATCCAAAAAATCGAAAGGGCCGCTGTTCAATGTACCGTCGGACATCTGTCACAAATGCTGGCGACAGGGATGCTTCCACTTGGTTCTCGGAGGCCGTCACTAGAACTTCCTGATCCTCTTACTATTGCATTTAAATATATCAATTTCACACATCGTGGTTCATCGATCATTATTCTCTGGCTCTTCACAAAATCGCCCCTTTAACTCCAATCCTTTCATTGCATTGCCTGAGACGGAGCCTGCCCCAAGGGCGGACTTCTTTCCATGCCCCGCCCCGCGTTTGGCTCCGCGCCATTTACCCTCGATTGTCCACAGAGTGTGGTTTTTGTGAGTTTGAAACTGAATCTCTGTGCGTGAAATTTGTTGTGATCACAACTGACATATGAGTGTTCGAAAGAGTGTAAGATCTCTCTAAGAAGGATTCCTTTAGCTGGACAATCTGCCAAATTATTGGGTTACACGGCTACCGTATCCAATGGTGAAATGCGAAAAATGTTAGCTGACGTTGCAAGTTTGTGCAGTTTTGCCGAAGCGTATCGCCTTATGCGCGTGGTAGTGGAATGTGAGAATTGCTACCCAGAAGGATTCCTCTCGAATTTTTTAGAATTTGTTAACTTTGACTTCCGAACGAAGCAGAACGTTCTCTTCACTGCAGGGCCAAAAAATGCTCTTCCATCGTCAAAGAATTCTGAACTTTATAGAAACCAATAAATTTGCTTCATCTCATGCTCAGTCAGCTATTTTACGCGTTCTGGGAGATTCCTCGATTACTCACTGGGATAATTCAGGTTGAAGGCAGTCAGGATGTCTTAATGGAGTGTCCGGATGTACTACGTTGTCTTCCTGATTCCGATTTTGCAAGCGCTCGAACTGCCGCTTGCTCCTTACAATGTGAAAGTGAGTTTTTGATTTGTTACAACGGGATTTACCCTCCCCTTCAAAAAGCGAGAAAGTGTCGGGTGCAGACCATGCACCACAAGTGACGACGGCCTTCACAAAATGTTAATGTTTGCCAATGAAATGATTAGCCTGTTGCAGTTGTATTCTATCAGTTGTCACTAATTACAACTATCATTTACCAGAAATCAGCTATCACTATGAACAACTTCTAACCAGATTTACTTGGAGGCCGTCGTCAGTTGTGGTGTTTGGTCTGCACCCGACACTTTCTCGCTTTTTGAAGGGAGGTTAGCTCTGGGTCAAGATCTTTCTCAGTAATTCAAAGAAGAATGTACTTCTGTGAAGTGTACATTTCATTAGGTCGGCACCTAATTTTTGACCCACTTTACATTTATTGCTGTAAGAAAGTTTTGAGAATTATTGAAGCTTTTCAACATGCTCTGCAACATAGAATAAAAGATTACCTTTGCTGGAAGTTAGCCACCTCATTTACTCAATGCTCACCTTGGCTAGAATTCCCGAAACCTCGTTATGCGCCACTTTTTCATGCGTGGTACTGCAATGTTCCGAGTTGAAAAAGAATGAGATGCTTCGTCGAGAAGTTCTAGCACTCATGCCTTTTACCGAAAACGTTAGTCGCAAAAACAAGGGATGAAAATGTCCACCAATCGAGTTAGTACTGAACCCAAAAGGTACAGGGTCAGGTACGACACTGTAGTCATTGTTCTTTTCCTGAAATAGTTGTAGAGTAGAATAATAGAATCGAAACATATCAATCAATTCAGGTATTCTGCCGCCAGGGCAGACGGTACTCCCGTCGGGTACAAACCGCGCTTCAGTGTTCATCCTCTCCACCGACTGCTTGCGGCTACCTAGAGTTCAGCGCTCCAGACCCGTCAAAAGGAGTGAACAAAGTGGGTTTGTAAAGCTGGTTGTTTAAAGCAACAGTCCCAGCAGGGTGGGCGTGGTCGGAAACGACTGCAATCCCTCGGCCGATTCCGACCACGCCCACTTCAGCTCCCTCCCTAGCGGCTTTCCAAGGTGAGTTTTTGTTCAGTCACACTTCCTTACGTTCTTGACTAGGGGCTGAACAGCTCCGAAGTGGGAATCGGCCGAGGGGATTGCAGCCGTTTCCGACCACGCCCACCCTGCTGGGACTGTTGCTTTAATGCGAAACAGGGCCATTCCTCAACTTGAACCAATGGGTTCAACTAATAAAGCGAGTGTAGGACCAGTTTTGCCGAAATTAGCCAGTGCTCATCTTTCATGCAGAGCAGTCCTCTTGAAAATGTACGGTATCCGCAAAGCGACCCAAGACAGAGAGAATTCAGTGTGCTATTGCTAGAGTCCTCTCCTGGGACCAGGATCGCTTCTTCAAATTTTCCTTCATTCCTGTTGCGCTAACCAACTTTACCTTTATTTTAACCTGGCTGCCTTTCCATCGTAAACTCCGCTTTTAGGTCCTCAGCTATTTTTGCTATCTTTCAGTTCTGGCGTTACTGATCTTGCAGCCAGTCCTCTAAATAACGCGCTTATATACATAAGAGCGGTCTTATCCATAAGATTTTGGGGTATTTTCATCTTCGAACACATTAACACCAACCCGTTTGATCGCGCAAGGTGTCCTAACGATAAACTTCAAAATAGCTCCCCTAGAAAAACCACTTTCTATGAAAGCACACAAGATTACTTGCAGATTGGAATTTACGAGTGCGTAGATAGTAGCATTTTACAAAGTTCAGATGATGATTTGGAAGAAGATAATCAGGTATGTTTCACCTGTGTATGCCAGAAGTGAACTGTGACCTTAAAGGCAGCGATCACGATGGCTGGGGGGCGGTGAAGATTTGGTGACGTCGTTGGACATTAGTGGTGGATTAGACTCTCATCGCACCGTGGCTGACAAGAAGCGCTTCCCAACGCCCTTCCATCAGGGATTCAATTACGTCATCAACATCACAACGCCCGCCGGCCATCGTGATCACTGCCTTCAAGGAATCTGCTGGGTCCATTTCTGTACAAAAAATTGCAGAAGCTATTTTCGCAAATATGTGGAGCTGTGCCACAATGTTCACATTTGAATCTCGACACTCTCAACCCTGCCTTCGCCAAATATCTAATCGTTCAACATGGTGTCCAGGTAAGCATTGAGCCGTGTGTTCTGACATATGATGTGCGCACAACACATCGCTTTTGCTCGTATCGTAATAACTTCGTATATGCGCCGCGACCTATTGGCTCTCAATGAATCTATAGCTTTTCCAAAAGGGCCGACAAACTCCCTTGTGACTCCCTTGCAATCATAGTCTTCTTTTGATTCGCGTCAGATTCCAGCGGTTTAGCGTTCAGATAACCCTCTTCGCAGGTATCGCTGGTGATCCAAAAAAGTTCATACAACTGCTGTGGACCAACACAAAAGCGTTGTTATGCTGACGGCACGACCAGACAGCATACAGCGTCAAAGTCAACCCAGCGCCCATTTGGGTCGTTTATCGCCAATTCCCGATGATCCCTCATTGAGGTCCTCATACCTCACACAACCCTCCGAACAGAAGCAGATGTCGCTAATGTCGTTGTTCCTTCTAAGACTCAATACACTCCAAGTCCGTCCCTCAAAATTCCTCCTCAAAACTCGAACAGAGCAATGGAAGAGGGAAGCGAAAGGAAGGAAATACGAGGATACAGCCCTCAGAACAACGGCAATTTCTAATGCACCTCCGTCCGTTACAGTTTATACCACAACCCTTCCGTTGACCTCTAAAACTTTGAAATCACTTATACGACCTTTTTCGAATCCCAATGACTTCCCCATCTCATAATCTTAAACCAGCGCCCCGCCACACTCGCCTCACCAAGTGGTTTTAGCGGAGCTTGTGAAGTAGTCCCTTTTATTGCAGTTTAGAACAATATAGCGGCTTGAGGAAAGAAAGACGAAATGCATTTGTTCTCTCTCGCCTTGCTTTCATCCCACAACACCACACAACCACAACAAAAATTGTCGCCTTTTGTGTAGGAGGTAACAGGGGGTGGTCGCAGTGAGGAGGGTGACAGACAAAGAGAGGAACGCACATTCGAAATTGGCACGTTCAAAGAGTTGCTGCCCAACAACTTTGACGAATTCGGGTTGAAAGTAACAGATTTTGGTGCACACATCGCCGGCAAGTTTCGAGAAAGATATGATCAATATCTCCGGAAACATAGTGAGTCCGCTTTCTCGCCAAGTAATATACCTACTGTTTTGGACACATTCCAAATGCGAACGTTACAGAAAAAAAACAAAAAAGGCGAAGGTTACGGGCACCTCGTATCCCCAGACGGAAATTCGAGCTTGCATTCTCCGGCTTATGGGCAGGTTTTGCCCATGATCCCGATTCTGTGCAGATAATTTTATTGCCAACACCAGCTTAGCCCAACACGATATCGTGCGCACAGCACGTTGACTTCTTTCGTTCGCTAATCTCTGCTAATCTTTACCCGATCTTTGGACCTTCTATAAGCGATAAAAATTTTATTTCTAGCTTTGCCCAACTCTACAAACGTTCCGCCAAGATCGCTGGACTATACGGGCACCAACAACCCTTGACCTCCCTCCTCCGCTGGCTCCAACCATTTCTCCCTGTCTCCGGACAGGAAACCCACTACTCGAGCACTACTAACATCGACCTATTATGCAGGCACCCTTTGTGGGCTTTCTCATAACGGAATGATGGACTTTTAATTAGGAACCGTCTATACAGAGGACACCGAGGTGGATCTGCCTAATGCAGCCTTGTGACGACGTGAGTAACGCCCCCTCAAATTGAGCAAGGGAGGGAGGGATCAAACCGAAATGCGAGTTGCTCATGCACCTCGGAGTGCCTCTCCCCTTTAGGCTTGGCCTTGAAAGCGGGCATTGTCCGTGCAAAGTGCGAAGGCGTAGAAAGCGCCGCGCCACCACTTGCCCTCCGCACCTCCCTCCCCCTACGAAAGCCCCGATTTGCATCCGTCAACACTGACTAAACAGGCTGGTAGAATGCAAGCAACCAAACTATGCGTGCTGGTCATTACTTCTCCTCTCGTCGCGCTTCCGCAACTGTGACGTTGCTGTGACGTCACCAGCGCACGCCCGCGTCAGCGCTGCCGATAGGCTTTTCTCGCCTCCCTCTTCCCGCATATCTTCTTTCACTTTCAAGCAGAAAAACCACAAGGTTTGAGTTGGCTGTGCCCATAAGAACACTGCTCTCTAGCGACTGATTCTCGCTTGGTTTTTTGGCGTAAGGCGGTTGCGCACGGTAGACGATTTGACGACAGCGGGCACGTCAGAGGTAATCAGTTTAATCGAATCAACTCTGAATAGAAGACTGGGAAACAGTTTTACTTTTTCATCTGTTATGTCATAATCCGTACCGAAGGTCGTGCTGAAGGTCAATAACGAGTAATTTTCGTTCTAATTGCGGAGCGTTGCAAGTTGCAAACCCTGCCTGGACTTCTGGCCTTTGACATTTTTTACATTGTATGGCGCGTTCCCACACTTGTATTCCTACCCTGTGGCCGTGTGCACCACATGGTGGCCCACGATATCTGTCTGTTCCTGGCCAGTTTTTCTGCCGAAGAACAAAACATTTCCGTAGGACACCACCAACTGACCATTTGCACACAATATGAGGTCAACCAGAATATTTTGTGCCCAGTTGGCTGGTATCTGTTATCTATGGCATTTTGATATGCAAAAAATATGAAACATAAAAATGATTCAGTACAACAGCCTTTAGACATATATTTGGTATATTTATAAAAAACCCTTTTTTCAAAAGGCCACCACAAAAATGGCGCTCGAATAAGTCTGTAAAATTTTTGAAGTGACGCAGGGGGGTGAGGCAGAGTCAACCCTGCGTTGCGCAGTTCTCAACGGCCACGTTGCGCAGTTTCGCCCGATTAGACACGTTCTCTCGCGCGAACATTCACACTCGCATGCTCGAGCCGTCTGCGTCTCCGCCCATACAGCGTGCGTTGAGGATCTCTCTCGCCGTTGCGAACTGCGCAACGCAGGGTTGACTCTGGGAGGGGGGGGGGCAGACACGCACGGCCCGCGCATGCTCGCGAGCACAAAAGCGGCTCGATACGCAATGTGTTGAACATCTCGCTCCGCACAACTATAGATTACCCATGACTTCCCTTCCCCGAAACTTGCGCAGGAGACGTTTCTCCTGGAGTTGAAAAGAGTCTTGAATGAATGTGCGCAACGATACAAGGTTCAAAATTTTGCAGCTCATTTATAACGCAGAATTTTTTACCCTAATTTCCGGCCAAATAGCACATTTGCTCAGCATTGTGGTTCCACCACATGTTTCGCATTTCTTTTCTGCTCCACAGAACCTTTTTGCTACGTGTGTCCTTTTAGGGTGGCGATATGATGAAAATTGCTGTCAGATTTCAAAGCGGAGGATCTCGAAAAAATACCAGCCACTGTTGCAATGAATCGCGCGACATTAGGGCTAAAGTAACATCTTGGAAAACATTTTGTTCAGAAAATTGCATGATAGGAGCTAGAGAGAGCTCTGAAGCTCCATCTTTGCCTTCCAATCGGAATAAAGGTCGTGTCATAAGAAACGGGAGACATGCAATCCTACAGTATTGGGCTCGCAATTTAAAGGCAGCGATTACGATAAAGTGGGAGCGCATCGGGGAAGCATATGCACCACACGAAGCAGTTACTTGGCTGCCAAGGAAGCGAGGTGTGGCGCTTTCACGACGAAAGGTGCGCTGGTTGCTGAGCAGGACTTCGAAAGCACTCCGCCCCCAAAAGCGATCCGCCCACTAGTTTAGTTGGTGATTTGGACGAGCTGCGTTGCCAGCAGCGGCACAACTGGAGCAACTCGATTGGAGCGTGGTTTGGCATGGTGCCACCAAACGCGTTGCGTGAACTCGTTCATACGTCCGCTTTCTGAGCTGTTACCTGTTCATGAGTGAAAACCAACGGCCAAAAAGGGGGTCCCGTTTTGCGTTTTCTTGACGGATTTCTCCGCTTTTTTCGCCACTGCGTACCATTGAGCACCACCACGTCTCCTTTGAACCCTTCTTGAATCTATCGTAATCGCTGCCTTTAAACCTTTTCAAGACTCAGTGTCTGAAGGGACCAATGCTTGGAGCGTGTGGAATAACTCCAAGTACACCTTTGAGTGGTAAGCCTAACAGGCCCCACTGACGACAAGCCCTATTGTAGAAGGTGTCACCAAAGCGGCTGAAGTAAGAATTGCTCCCAGCTGTGTTTGTCTGCGTTCCTGTTCATGTTTTTATCATCCTTATGGCTAGTGAGGGAAAATTCCCCACATCCTTATGGCTAGTGAGGGAAAATTCCCAAGCGGAGGAGTCGGCAGCCCTTGCTCGCTGACACAAGGCACAGTGCTTCCACAGGGCGAGCAGAACTAGCGAAATCTACCACTCGTTGTTATTTTTGACATGCTATGGCATTCCTCCTAATAAATTCATTGCCTATTCAGCTAGAATTATACGAATTCATTGACTCTTCAGCTAGAGGAACTGACTTCACGTACAATTCGCTTTTGCTGTTCTCTTTTTCACCACACACTTCAACGACTAGTCACGTCCGAGAAGGACAAGCTGCGTAAGTACCAGAAGTCTTCCACGATTCTCTTCTGTTCAAGATAGACATCTTTCAGCATCCATTTCGGCGCCACCCGTGCACTGTCAGTCCGAAATATGCGGTGCCGAAGCGGTCGGTTGTCTCCTGCATTCGACTGGCGCTTCCCATTCCTCTGAGGGATATGATGAATACTACGAACGAAAAAAGAAGACCAAGCATCGGTTAAGCAAACGTCATAATGATGAGTACGATGAAGGAATTGACGCAGTCCAGGTGAGAATTTGTGCAGGACGTACAGCTGACCAATTGAAAAGGGCTGAAACATCGAGCACTGAGAAACAAGGCTGGCACGGAGGACGTATCGCGCCCTTTTCATTCAATAGTGCCTTATGAAGATTATTATAGACCTGTACCGTCGTAGCCTTTTCTCGGAGCTCATACATATTTCGAGTACAGCCATGTCCAAGTTCAAGCTACTGTCGAAAAGAAATTGCTCATATGAAATATTTCCAACACTCTCTTGGCTGTATTCACAGTAGCAGAACAACTGACACAGTGACCTCTCCTTGTTTCCAGCTTTTCTTCGACTTCGAAGAAAGCACAGAGAGCGATCCATCTACGCATTTTGGTACCACTGCACCATCTGTAGCCCGTCCAGCGAAAGCCCCCGTACGACCGCCAGAAGTGAAACGACCGTTAGCGAGAGTGCATATCGCATCAGATATGAATCAAACGACATCCACTCGACCATCTCTGTCGAAATACGAGGAACACGGTGAGCTGAAAGCGGTTTCCAAACAGCCAACATCTCTTTCCCTTTGTTTCGCGGGAAGTTACTCCTTGCTTTCTCAATGCAGAACACCTTAGAAAAGAGGAGAGGCTGCGAAGATGTTCAAGCTAAACTCGTTTCACTCGATCTCGTCCGCCAAAAATTTGAACGAGAAGTTTTCAGAAGATCTCGACGAAAGTGAGGAAACTCATTGTGTCTACAGGCATCTGAACGACGAGTTGTACCGATACTGCCTCTTGGTACACCAAAAGAAGGACGGAGACAGGTACGATTTCTGCTGAC